AAACAACTGCCTCTTGGTCTACGGGCAGGTTTTACATGAATACAATTAAGTGTTCTGAAATTCCCAGTCTTTACAATGTTATCCATAATTTTTTATGATGCAAACAAATTGCTTTCCATAGACAATAAATACAAGTAACTATCAAAAGGGGAGATTATGAGAAGTAAAACATTTGGTTCTTGGTGATTACTTTGGTTACTGTCACCTGTAATGGCTGAAAGAAATGTTGCAGCTGAGAGGAGAGAAGTTGCCTCTGGAGTGGCTTGGGGCATAAGCCAGCCTGAGTAAGCAATGCATGGTTGATAGAAGGCCATGGCCCACTGGCTCCAGAGGTTCAAGGCCTTATGCTTAAGGCAAACCTAAGTTCCACCCAGAACTGCAAAAGAACAGGAGATTTATGTTTGAAGAGAACTGCAGAGATTTTTTTTTAAAAAGTCATTTTAAAAAATTTTGAGCAAGCAGTTTGTCACTGTATAGATACAGGAAAAGTCTGTGCCTATCAGAGAAAGCCCCCTTCTAGGATTGAAAGTTAAAGTGAGTCAGTGAGCAGGCAGGCTGGTATGCTTGTTATGGTAAACCACCTGAGTCCACCTGCAGTTTAAAGATGGGCTGAGTTTGGACATGTTCCATTAAGACACATTAGCCTGATCCACAATGTCAAGAGAGAAAAGAAGAAGGGCTGGTTGGTCTAAGTTGTGTGGAGCTTGAGCCTATGCGAATGGTCTAGCCCCAGGGGGACTGTCTAATGAGAGTTTGTGAAGGAGCCAGCTGGTCTGAACTATAGGGAGGTGTGTACGGACTCCCAAGCTTACAACTGGTACCTAATTGACCTGGTGTGAATGGCAAAGGCTGAGATGACCAGAACCCAACCAAATGAAGAGAGTTTGCCAATATGGGTGAGGTAAGTGATGGTACACTAAGAAGACTGCAATGGAAGAATTGAAATAAAATGTGTAGAGCTGCTTAGTATAAAACTGCACATTATCTGCTCTACAAACCACTTAATTCACAATGCTTAAAAAAATCTGTCAGATACTTTAAAAGAGAATATATATGGATGGCAAATATTTAGCACATGAAAATATATTCAGCATTATTAATCATTAAGGAAAACACATAAACCACAATGAGATATTACTATATACCTACCAAACAAAAAATCCCACACCCACTGCCATTGAGTCAATCCTGAGTCATGGCAACTCCATGTTGCAGAACACTGGTAGAACTATTCCACTGGATTTTTCTTTTTAAATTTTATCAGTACATATCCATATACCATACAATTCATACAGTACATATCCATATACCATACAATACCATACATACAAGCTTATCAAGAAAAGCTATAAAATCATCACCACATTTAATTTCAGGATATTTTCTTCTTTCTTATTATGAGCTTCCCATTTCCCTCAACCTCTCCAGCCATACCCACAAGAAACCATTAATCTGTCTAATCTCTCTATAGATCTACCTGTCCTGGATTTCATATATAGAAAAACATACCAGAGAAAAAAATTAATAAAGTAAAACAGTAAAATTTCAAGCAAAAACCATTAAAACTGGAACAATTTTAAAATGATTCAAAAGGGAGATCAAATGATAAGGTGTTAAATTTTAACCTAACTGCATCTGCAATAATCCACTTTCCAACACAGGGTTTTTTTTCTTGGCTGTAAAATTTATGGAAGTAAACTGCCAAGCTTTTCTTCTGTGAGTTAAACCACCGACCTTTTAGGTTAATAGTCAAGCACAAAATATGCCACCCGAAGATCTTTATACACCTAGTACCAAACCAAACCAAATCCATTGCTATCATGCCGATTATGCTCACAGTGACTCCACTACTGCAGAGCTGAACGGAGCTAGGGTTTTCTTGGCTGAATTCTCTATGGAAGCAGATTGCCAGACCCTTATTCTGCAGTATCACTCGATAGGTTGAGCCACCAACTTCTCAATTAGTAGCTAAGTGCAAATTCTGTGACATCCAGGGACCTTGTATGCCTAAATAGTCATTGCATTAGTTTATAATAAGAATGACTAACAAATTGGCAAGAATACACAAGGGGGCTTAACAAATTTCATGGGAAGACAATTGAAAGGGAATTCTTTCGTGAACTTTTTGACACATAGTAAGTACAACTGTCATGTTACTGGTGGGGTCCTAAAATGACAGGCAGTCATTTTGGAAACATCTAAGCTAAATATACCTAGCATATGACCCTAACTGATGACAGTCATTTCACTCCTAGAAAAAGGAAAGAACATGGAGACACCAAGACTTGCACACAGCTTTAGGTGTAATAGGCAAACACCAGAAACAACTCAAATGTCCATTACAGGTGAATGAGTAAAACAGAGACAGAGCCAATAAAATACTCTGAAAAGCCCACTGCCTTCAAGTCAATTCTAACTCATAGCACACCTCTAGGCCAAAGTAGAACTGCTTCGTGGGGTTTCTGAGGCTATCAATCATTACAGAAGCATACAGCCTCAACTTTCTTCTGTAACGCAGCTAGTACATTCAAATCACTGATCTTTTTGTTCATAACCCAATGTGTAACCCATTGCGCCACCATGACTCCTAATAGAGTGTTGGTCAGCAATAAAAAGAAATGAATTGACACAAGAAAGAATGTGGATAAATTTCTAAATAGTTATACTTAGTGAAAGCCAAACACAAAGAGTATATGCTATGAAATTCTAAAGTATATTATATGAAATTCTAAAAATCGCAAGCTATCATGATATGAAGTGGTTGCTTGTAAATGGGTGAGCTGAGGGGTGTGAGGAAAGAATAATGAATAAGTTCAGAGTAACATATGTATATTATCTTGACTATAACTATTGCCATTTAAATAACTGCGACTCATAGTGACTGTACATAGTTTCCAAAGCTTTGTAAATCCTTACAGAAGCAGATAGCCTCATCTTTTTCCTGTGGAGCAGCTGGTTGGTTTGAACTGCTGACCCTGTAGTTAGCAGTCTAATGCTTACCCTATAGCATCACCGTGGGCCCTTATCTTGACTTCTCACTGCCATCAAGTTGATGTCGACTCCTAGTAGCCCCATAGGACAAGGTAGAACTGCCCCCTCTGAGTTGGCGAGACTTTTACTCTTTATGGGAGTAGTGGTGACATATACATGTCAAAACTTATCCAATTATACACGTTTTAAACTTTTTATTGTGATTTGGATTGAAAGTTTACTGATACATACCCACTTTGATTTGTGACATTTGATTGCAACCCAACAATGTAACAGCACACTTCTACTTTCCCCCTGTTTCAAGTGTTGATTCCTTCTCCTTTCCTGGCTCTCCCTTTCATCAGAGCTTTATACCTGAGCAGATGCTGTCTCTTTGAACTCTAATGGTTCTAGGGACTGCAAACTTCCCGGGCGTTCTTGTTCACCTTACAGGCCTGTCTATTGTTGGGCTGTTCTATTGTCTGGCTGAAAGTTGAGCCATGGGGGTGAGGTGGATTACAGGCTTGACGGGTGACTAAGGGTTATAGTCTCAAGGGTCAATATGTATACTTCAAATGTGCCAATTACTGTATCGCAATTATATTTCACAAAATCTCTTTAACTACATATTATTGCCTTTTCCTTTCCTTTCCTTTGAAACTAAAATATTCTTATTGCTATATTTAATAGCATTGATTCTAAAAAAGACCTACAACTAAACATTTCCCCTAGTATTATTTTTTTATATAAATCATTGTATTGGGGGCTCTAACACCTCTTATAACAATCCATACATCAATTGTATCAAGTATATTTGTACACATTTTGCCATCATCGTCAAAACATTTTCTTTCTACTTGAGCCCTTGGTATCAGCAACTGTTTTTCCCTCCCTCCCCCATCTTCCCACCCTTGTCACTCTTATAAATTATTATTTTCATATCTTACACCGTCCGGTGTCTCCCTTCACCCACGTTTCTGTGTTCATCCCCCTGGGGGGAGGGGGGTTATACATCAATCATTGCGATCAGTTCCTTTCTCCCTCTTCTCTCCCCACCTTCCCCCTACCCTCATGTTATCACTACTCCCATTACTGTTCCTGAGGGTGTTATCTGTCCTGGATTCTGTGTGTTCAGAGCTCTTATCTATATCAGTGTACAAGCTCCTGTCTAGTTGAATTTGTAGACAGAACTGGGGTCATGATAGGGGGTCCTCTCATATTCTAACATTTTCAAAAGAGAATCCCGAGTCTCAATGCTAGGCATAAATGTCATAATTACAGAGATACAAATATACCCGCAACCTTCTTCTCCAACCACCTACTTTCACAACCGGCTCAAGTCCCTCCTATAGGCAGCCCTGTCCCCTGCTGTCCCCCTTCACAGAGGAATATGACCTTAGTCATCTCTTTTGTGTCATGACCAAAGACACCATTTTAACAACTAAAACAAAATCTACCACTGTCATGTCCTTTCTCCTTCAATTTACCACATTATTTTTGCAATCCCATCTGCCATAATTCTGATGTGAAGATGTTTATGTATCAAGGCAAACATAAATACAGGCAGTCTCTGGGTTTCTAACATCTGACTCACAGATAACTGGTACTTGCAATTTAACATTAAGTAAAGCTGCTCTATTCGGTTCTGCATCAGGTCACTATGGGTGGGAACAGACTGCATGGCAACTAACAACAAACTGCCCTTATTGGGAAGTAATGGTACAGTCCTATTCTCAACAAATTCTTCATCACATCGCTTTCATTTAATGAAAATAGCCTTTTCTTGAACTTGAGCTAAATAAGAATTTATGCACCTGTTCAAACTCACCTACAAATGTCACCTAAAGACTTAGACACAGGAAAAGATCTCATTTGTAATCCTGGGGCTGCCTGTACTAGAATTCACAATTCCCTTTGTAGCTACAAGTGATGTATAAGCTTCTATTTCATTTTCTTTTCATATTCTAGCATCTACTAACTATTTTTTTTAATGTTTTGAAGATATATTTAAGAGTAAGAAAAGCACTTACCTCAAGCACTGGTCCAGCTCCAAGAATAATTTGTTCTACTCCACTGGCAAATCCTTTCTGACTGAGGGCAGTGAGGTGATGAATAAGAAAGTTTGTGCTTTGAGTCTTGCCAGAACCACTCTCTCCTGAAATCACAATGCACTGATTCTTTTTGCGTTGAAGCATTGCGTGATAAGCTACATCAGCCACAGCATAAATGTGAGGTTCAAGCTTTCCTAGTTGGTGGTTATCATACATTTTTACATATTTGGGATTATAAATAGGAAGAAACTTGAATGGGTTAATAACTATTAGAATACTGCCAACATAGGTATAAATTTTTTCATGTTTAAAGCGATTTCGAAGGTTTTCTAAAAGAGTTTTCTCATTCAGATCAGGTAAACTACATAAATCATCGAAGTCTTTCTGTTGTGGCTGTGGAAGAAAACCCCGTTCCATCATCCTGCGACGTTCTTCTGTGACCCGTAACCATGACTGAAGACTACCATAATGGATTGACCCATCAAGGTTTTTTTCTCGCAGAAGAAAACGGTAGTCCTCGCCACTCAACCGATTTTCCAGAGCCATTCGGGGCCACATCATCATTCGCTGAACTGGACAGTCTGTTGGATTGAGTATCCATTCTTCGCCACCAAATTCTTTTACTTCTGCTAGAACATAACATTTTGTTTTGTCAAGATGGAGTCTGTTTATAAGAGAGTCAATCACCTCAGCAGCTGTGGAGTTTCTTCTGGCAGGAACTGGACAGTAAATCGTCCCTTCTGAAATTATCCCAGGATATATATGTAATGTGTGTTCATTATCCTCAAAGCGTCGCCTTCCTCCATCATTTATATTCATATTGGATCCTGTCCCATCAGCTTGAATAGTACGTCTTCAAGATTGTATAAAACATTTTCTTTGCAAAGAACTGTAACAAAAAATAACAAGCATTTAGCAGTCATATTACATACTTATTGTTTTCTAAGGCTAAATAGGAAAATCACCTTCTAGAACACAAACTCTAATTCTAGTATAGGAATAGTTTTGAAAGCAGTCTCGTTGAGACCACATAATCATAACATTTTATTGCCCAAATCTGGGCATTTCCTAAAATAAAAATTTGCCCTCCCCACAAAAAAAATCCATGTTTTATTATGTTACTAATCCCTTAATTATGCAAGATATTAAAGAATACAATATAAATAATTTTATCCCCAACTATTTCAAATGTTTCTAAGGTACCTGGGTTTAAAACCAAGTTATTTCCTTATGCCTGAATATTCTCACTAAAGACTAAGGTGAAGAGAAATAACACCAATCTAATAACATTGCACTAAAATTTCTTCAGGATAGAGCAAATCAAGAAATAATGCTATAGCTGGAGCAAAGATTTTGTGAGATTCATTTGAAATCCAGATGGGATAAAGATATGCTCAAGAGAGCACATGAGAAAGGACCTGCCATAGGAAGGGACATGGCTTCAGGAAATTCAGGCTCTGACCGTCTCCCAGTATACACAGGTGAAGTGAATTTGGCAGAGACAACAAAAAGACCTTGCCCCCTGCCTTGCTGAACACCACTGGCAGAATCATACAACCAACCTGACTGGTTATCACTGCAAGTTTCACTCAACCTCATCTTTACCCTGGATGCTCTATCTTTTTATCTATCTTTATTTCATTCCTTCATATTCTTCCGATCTTCTCAAACCTTACATCTACAAAGCTGGACTGATTGATTTCTATTTTTATTCCTGAGAGGGAGAAAAGAGTTATTTCCCTTAAAAGACTTCTCTAGCTCATTCATTTCCTATTCTCACTTCATTTTTATTCCTGTCAACATCCTTTCTAGGGCTAAAAACCCTTACTTCTTCCCATCTCCATTAAAAACTTGCATTAAAAAAAAACAAAGAAAACCTCATGTTCTCCAAACATGATCTTCCAAACAGAGAAAATTACAAGACATATAAAAAGCTGCCATACACCTACCACCCAGATTCAATGAGTTTTAAAATTGCTACATTTTCTTCTGATCATTTTATAAAGAAATATTAGCGATAGTGACCCCTCAGTTGTCGAATGTCTCATAGCTCAAACTTTCCACTACGAACAGCTAAGTTGAAAAAAGAAACCTGCTCGCTGTTCTTAACTTTGCTCAATAGTAAACCAAAGATCTGGTTTGAATAAATTTGTATGGGCCCAGAGTGAGTTACTTGTCTTGTCGTGCCTCACACACAAAGGGGTAGCACTGCTCTTGCTCAGACAACATAGTAGTACTTGTGTTAGCGCATTAAAACATTCATCACTGTGGGTTTTTCACTTGTGTAAAGTATCATAACTCTCCAAAGAACATCAATGATACCAGCAGTCAAGCCAAGAGGATAGAGTTAAAGCAATCATTGTAAAATGTGAATCAGGTCACCACTGAATATAGCTAAATTGACATTAGCAACATTTAGGTGGGGGGGTGGTGAATGTGATTAAAGAGGCTAATGTAGTGAAAAGTGTAAAATTGTTGACCACGACACAACCCAGACCATAGAAAAGGCTGAAAGTGACTGTGAAGTTGGGTAATGTCAGAAACAAGTGGACGGGTAAGGCAGTAATGTGCCAGACGGCTAATGGCCTCCATAGTGATTTAAAGTCCTGGAAAAAAATAAATTTATAAATGTAACTTTGGAGCCTCAGAACCAATGTTTAGCTTTCCATTATTTTTATGGGAAAAATATGTTTACTCTCAAATTTGTCAGTGTTCGAACATGAATTTGGAACCTTACAGTGACAGTTCCTTTCCTTACTCCATAGAGGTAGCATTACAGTAAAAGTTCCTTTCCTTACTCCATAGAGGTAAACAATGTTCTGAGATGGGTATTACTCTCACAATGTTTTTATGTGTTTATTACATGTATGGGCATTCATAAATGATCTAAAGTACTTTTTAAGCTTTAAAAGCAGTGCATTATGTTAACAATCTGCTCAATATGTCTTTTATTTAGAAATGTTTATAGTTTAACTGCCAAATAATATCCTATTGTATAATTATATACTATTAGCCCACACTCCTTCAGATGAACACTTAAGATTGTTTCCAATATTACACTGAAATTCTCATGTACAGAGAATTGTGTTCATCTTTGCTAGAATTTCACTAGATTTCTACCCTGGGGTGAAATTGGGTTTTAGGTAACTTCAAACTCTGCAGGGCATTTTATTAATTCCTGATGAAGTGGTTGTACATATATGTTATTTCACCAGCAGTATAGAAGAGTTCACATTTCTTTCTCACCTTGCTGAAAGTTTATGCTGATCTAGTAGGAAGAAAAAGCTATCTTATTACTTTGTATTCCCAATTACTAGTGAGAACAAGGAACTCTTATCCACTCATTTGCCATTTGGGCAATGCTACCTTTCATTTATCTTTTTCTTTTTTTTTTTTTGGCTTGTAGTGTTTTATTACATAAAATATCAGAAAATTCAAAAGCATAACAACACTTATTGTTACTAAAGATCATATTTTCTGATTTATTCAATATATTCACCAGAGTTGTAGAACATTCAATCGTGCCTTCACAAGGTATCATATATATATATATATAATTCACTATAGTTTAGGATGTAGCCTTTGGAATTCAGAGCTACAGTGTCACCAGCAGAGGCCCTGGAGCACAGATACATGTTGTGCTGCAAACGACGAGTTAGCAGTTCAAGCCCACCAAGGGAGACAATTAAGGCTTTCTGTTTCTGTAAAGGTCTACCGCCTCGGAAACCCAACAGGGCAATTCTATTCTAACCTTACAGAGTTGCTGTGAGTCAGAATTGATTCAATGGCAATGAAATGTCACCACACTGGTCCTAAGAGCACTGTACTACTACTACTCAGAATGATGCCTGACAGACTGGGAGATATTTTTTTTTCTTTCAATAAATAATTTTATTGGGTGCTCTTACAGCTCTTTTAATAATTCATGCACATTTATACATATGTTGCCACCATCATTTCCAAACATTTCCTTTTCATTTGAGTCCTTGGTATCAGCTCCTCTTTTTTCCCCTCCTCCCCCACCCTCCCACCCTCATGAACCCTTGATAATTTATCGATTATTTTTATTTTAATATTTTAGATCATCCACTATCTCCCTTCACCCATGTTTCTGTTGTTCGTGATCCCCTTTCCTGGGGTGTTGTACGTCAGTCATTGCCATTGGTTCCCCCTTTCTCTTCCTTTTCCCCCACCTTCCTTCTACCCTCATGGTATTGCTACTCTCATTGTTGGTCCTGAGGTGTTTATCTGTCCTGCATTCTGTGTATCCAGAGCTCTTAATCTGTACCAGTGTACATGCTCTGGTCTAACCAAATTTGTAAGGTAGAACTGGGATCATAATACTGGTGGGGGGTGGGGAGAAAACAGTAAAGAACTAGAAGAATGTTGTGTGTTTTGTCAGTACTATACTGCACCCTGGCTGGTTCATCTCTTTCTTGTGACTCTTCTGTGAGAGGATCTCCAATTGTCTACAGATGAGCTTTGGGTCTCCATTCCAACCCCCCTCATTCACAATGAAATAGCTGTTTGAGTCTTCTGATGCCTGATCCCGTCGTCACCTCGTAATGTTGGTGTGCTTCTTCCATGTGGGCTTTGGTGCTTCCCTGTCAGGTGGCCACTCGTTTAACTTCAAGCCTTTAAGAACCCAGGCGCTGTATCTTATAATAGCTGGGAATCATCAGCTTTCTTCACCACACTTGCTAATGCACCCATGACTTCAGCAATCGTATTGGGAAGATGAGCATCACAGAATGCCGTTATTAGAACAAAGAATTCTTGCATTGAGAGAGGACTTGGGTAGAGGCCCAATGTCCATCTGCTACCTTAATACTTAACCTATAAATATAGGTGCATAGACCTGTATCCCTATCGTTATATATTAATATATTTACATTGTGCGTGCCTATGTTTATACCTCTATAAATATCTTTTGCCTTCTGGTTCTTTCCGCTATTTCCTTCCACTTTCCTCCTGTCCCACTATCATGTTTGACCTTCATTCGGCTCTCTATACTTCCTCCCAGCTACATTGCACTTAATCAACCCCACCAGGCATTCTAGGCCCTCATCATCGAATTTGGATCTCTTGTTGTTCCGTTGTCCCTGGGTTTGTTGGCTTCCCCCTCCCTCTTCCTCTCCCCTGCCCATTCCCACCCACCCCCAACCATTGGCCCCATTGTTTTCTCCTCAGGATTGTTTGTCCTGCCTATCTTATATAGACAGACATGAAAAACAAAACCAAAAATATAGTTCCAGGTCTGTCTGTTGGTCCTTATGGCTTCGGGTCGGATCTGATGCAGTGCCAATGCAAGCCCTGCCCCGAGTCCAAAGTCTATTTTCAGAATTCCTCAGGGTCTTAGTTGCTTTGCTCCCCTGGCTGCTCTGTTGTGCTCACTTCATGTTACACCAGGTGTGTGGGGTAGGGGGGTGGGGGAGTGGAGGAGTAATCAGACCAGGTACAATTCCTGCACTATGACTCTGGTGCTGCCCCCTCGTAGTGCTGTGGGTCAGACTTAAGGGGATGTTGTCTCGTGGTGAGGCCGATCCTACGGTCCTCTTTGTGCACTGGCTACTCCCAGCAGGAATGTCGTCCTACAAGCTTGGTGGGCCAGGATGCGGTTCTTTCACTCTCTCCCTCTCTCTCTTAGTTTTGGGAGCCATGTTAACCAGCCACTTGGTGGTACATTTGCCCTAAAGTAGTCCTTCTGGATTGGCCCCTAGTAGGTCATTGCCAGCTAAGAACAGCAAACATATAGCCTATGAGGGAGCTTCAGGATTCTCACCTAACTACTCAGCCTAGAGCTATGCCACCACGGCATCCATCCTGTTATGAAGGTCCTCTCTAAAGACTTCTCACCCTCCTCTTTGACTTCAAAATATGCAAAA